GATACAGCAACGGTTATACATTTTTTTTCTATAATCATTGACATAGTTTTAGAATAAATAATCCATGATAAAAGGTTAGATTAAAATAAACCTACCTCATATTTATGCAAAATATTATATTTAATTTCTTTGTATCAGCTGTCTGAAATTGTGAAATATGCAGTTTAGCAGTTATTCTTGTTTATATTTAAATGTCAAAGCAAATGTAAACAAACATTGTTAGTGTTCTCATCACATCCATGGAGACCAATCAATATTTACTTTTAAAATGTTCACCTCAGAACTTTTAAAGCCAAAGGGGCAAAGCCTACGGTCAGTATCGAAATGTGAATAGTCCTATAATGGTCCTTGGTATGGTAGCTATATTTTTGTAAAGTTTAAGCCCAGTTGGTTCAGTAGTTTTTGCACCTATTAGTAATACACATACAGACAGACACCATTAGATTTTTATATAATAGTATAGATTGTTAAATTGGTTTTATGTTAATGAGTAATTTGTAACATAGATTTTTCGCCTATAATACATCATATTTTCAAACAAAGTAATTTTTGGATGGACAATTATATCCTAACTGTAGTTTTAATTAAAAATAAATTATAGTTTTTTATAAATACCCCCGGCCCTGCCGCAGCAAACCTGCAGACTAAGTGAATTTCAACTTGTCTGAAGACATTTTTACTCAAATATTTCCATAAATAAGATAAATATTTATTCCCAATTTAAATGACATTAGATTTAACGAGTGCTTAGGTTTGCTGCTACGGAGAAGGTTAAAAGTGTTTTTGACCAAATAATAATAGTATAGGATGAAATAAATAAATATGCAAAATTTTATCAACGCATATCCATAAACAAGTAAACTACAACAGTTTTAATTTTACCTTTAAGTATAACATGGAAATTTTAAGCTTACACTTTTTTTTCTCTGTAACCTCTAGGCACCCAACAGAGCTTCAATATACTAAATTAATTATTTTTTTAAGCTCTACAAAACGGCTTAGAAAGAAATTGCAAAATTTTATGTTTTTAGGGTAAAAAATGGGAAAAACTCATTTTCACCCCATAAATCCCCGTTCCCATGGTCCGATCATGCTGGTTCGCGAACTTGTCCGAATAAATGTAGGTTTACACATTTATACCAAATTGCATCAAAATCGGATCATTTTTGCTCGAGTTATCGTGCTAACGGATACAAATATAAATAAATATATATAGGCTATATATTTATATGAATTTAGACGAATGGTGTTTTTGGCCTCTGGGGACTTCAAAACGAAATAGGAAATCGGCCCCGGGTCCAGGTCTTACTATGAGACCTACGGTAATAGCTTATTCCCTATATAGGAAATTCGCTAAAAGGTGATTAAATAAGATGCATAAATTTCAAAATTTATATGACTGTACAGAATTGATTGTAACGCAAAATAAATTACCCAGCTTATAATGTAGATAGGTACTGATAATGGATTGATACTGATCAAGAAAAATTAACTCGAATTGATGTAGAAGAGAGTAAGAGTATTTGTATTGGCAATAATAATTACTAGGGCACCTGTTGCTTGAATTCGAGCAATTTCAAAGTATTACAGGCGTTATTTAAAAACAAATAACAGTCATAATTACCGATGACTTAAAAGACTCAACTCAAAGATGAAGTAAACAATCACACTCCAGTTCTCGAAACTGAAAACGAACTTGCTCTGAAAACAAACGCTCTTGTGTGTATATGATGTGTTTATTAACAGCTGTAATTAATAAGAATTATTTGTCTGTTTAGGTAAACAAAATCTTTTCTTCACAAGAAGTTTAAGTAGTATTGCATTGGGATTTTGATGGGCTGTAGGGCGAAACCTGAGGACTTTTTTTACCGGAGTTTTCTCTACACAAAAAGTACTTAATTTTGACACGTCGTTAGTAAAAATCCGTCCATTATTAACGGAGGAGTAGTGTTTCGTAGAAATCGCCTTCAGGTATTATATATAAGGATTTATTGTCAAGTCTTGCTAGGAAACTCTTTATTAAAGGAACCAGACTTATTTAACAGATGTTAAAATAAAAATACAAATTCCGGCTTTGCTCTGGAAGTATAATAAGTCCTGCAGTCTATGGTTAACATTTAAAACTACGTTCATATGTTTAGTTGTAAAAACAGGTAATTAAGTTTGATCGAATGTCAACAGATGTCGTTCCCCGACTTTGGCCCTTACCTGTACTTAAGTGATGCCTTTCTGTATTTAGACATCTACGTGAAAATACCTTCAATTTGACACCTCAAACGTTAAAATCCGTCAAGCCGTTATCGAGTTACGACTGTAAAAAGTAAACTGCTTGCGTATTAATATATAGATTATAGACTATTTTAATCAGGATTTGTTGTACAAATATAAAATGTACATTGACTAAATATGTTTATGGTGAAAAGTTAATCTACAAAACTCAATAACCACAGATAAATGATTAAGATAACATAATAATTTCAACATCTGTACATAAAATGTAAAAATCACTTTTAAAATACACATACAAATAATTTTTACATTGAATATTTGTAAATTAAGAATCCTCATGAAGTTAACAGTACGGTAGTGAATGAACTCTAAACCAGTCCTTTTAGGTCACAGATGTTTTGAGCCTTGAAAGTGGAGATTAAATGAATGAATGAATAATAATTTCGGTGAGGCAGATGCATTTGACCTTTGAACTTATTCGGCATTGACATGGTGAAAACATGACAAACACTGATTACTACTTCTGACCGTAATTGGCAAGCCTAATTGATGAGACATAACTTTAAAAAATTGCTCATCGGTCTTATAATAAACCTATAAGGAAACTGATACACAATCTCCTTTCTACATTTAAAACTAGGCATTAATAAAATGTTACATTTTTGTGGTTAAAAATTGTATTTTTTTAAGGTCTATGTAATGATATAATTTTGTTGGTATTACCATTCAATTAGTAGCCTTTATTAATATTTTCCCCTTATGCTTAGTCCTGATTAAACCTTACTTTTTTTATATATGAAGGAGGGTTATTTTATTTGGTAAATATGTTTGGTTGTCCAATAAGGTACAAATGTGTTTATAAAATTATTAAAAAAAACATATAAATAAATGTATCTTCATATTTTATAAGTTTTTTTTACAAGGTCCCTATTCTTAAACTCATAACAACAAAAATTAATATTGTTTCATTTTTATTTATATAAGCATTTATGGACTTTTATCTCTAATTCAATAAGTTGGCTATTTCAAAAATTAAAATAGGCCTAGCCCTACAATTTTCTGATTCAGGCGACAAATTTAAAATTTAAATGCCTGTTTCAGAATGATGAGTTCTGACAGGTCAGCCAAGCAGAGAACAAGATATTGATTACAATAGCGGCGAGCCTTGACAGGGATTTTTCGGGAAATTTTACTGGGACCCGGTCACGCCACAAGCCCTACCACACGGGCCCTCCTATCATAACAATATTTATGAGTATTGCCAAGAAATTACTAAAAACTTAGTTTTTTGTGAGTCAGTAGTGAAATGTTTGTGCCTGGCATCAACTCACCTCCTGCCAACACTACTGTGCAAAGCGCAAGTAAGCTTAGATAGAAATACCTGTGATAATGTTTTCAAAAATTATTGGGAGAAAGGGGCTGATTACAAACTTGCGGGGGGAGGGGGGGGCTCTTATCACCGCCACTGATTAATTAACTAGCCAGTGAGTCAGCACAATGATTGCTTCTAGCAGATTAGGAGTGTAATAATATTATTTGTTAACAACTTCTATAGGAAAAAGATTGTACCTCTCAAATGGCTTGTAAAACTTTAGGGGAAAATTGAGACAGCAAAAATTACTTTTGAAAAAATCTCAATTTTGGAAGAAATTATATTCAGAGGCCCCCCCAAATTATAAACAAAATATTATGACTATGTTGGTTGGATGGATATAATAATTTTGTTACTATGGCAAAGCTTCCAGCAGATTAAGAATGCATCTTCATCAGCAATAATTTACATGTTTGGATAAAAAAAATAGTAATTTTAAATTAGCCTCCTATCCAATGTAAAATGGTCAAAAACTTCATAAGAAAATCTTAAGACAAAAAATTACCATGTAAGGTAAGAGGAGATTTAGAAAGGTACTTAATTACCATGCAAGTAAGACAACAAAACAAAACTTGTCAGATTTGGAAGGGGAGCAGAAAACGAGGAGAACTTGAAAGAAATAGAACAAAAGTATGAACAGGTTGAGTCTTTTAAATATTTAGGAGTTATTGTCAGCTCAAAATGTGAGGAACACATAGAAATAAAGAACAGAATAAATCTAGCCAGTATAAGTATGTATGCTCTAAACAAATTATTATCATCAAGCATTAGCATTAGCATTTATCTCATCACACTAAACTTAAAATCTACAAAACTATCATAAGACCTGCCCTTCTTTATGGAGCTGAAATCTAGATTATGGATAAAAAACACGGAGCAAAAACTATTTACTTTTGAAAATAAAGTCCTGCGTAAAATCTTTGGCCCTACTAAAGAAGGAGATGTATGGAGAATTAAACATAATGAGGAATTAAGAGACCTGTTCAAGGAGCCAGGTGTAAGTGCAGAGGCTAAAAGCAGGAGGCTTTACTGGACGGGCCACATCATTAGAAGAGAGGAAACTAGCACACTTAATCAAATATGGAAAAGTGGCCCACTAGGGAGGAGACCACAAGGGAGACCGAGGAAACGCTGGACGGATGAAGTAAAGAAAGATATGGCCAGGATGGAAGTCAATGAAAGATACCGCAAGAGACAGGGCGACGTGGAGGCAGTGAGTTAGTGATGCCAAGTACCACTTGGGGTACAAATGGCCATGGGAGTAAGAGTAAGTAAGTAAGGTAAGAGGTTAAATTGTTTTTGTAATCATTCTATTAGTTGGAAAGCCCCAATGGGTGAACTATGATTTGAATATTAAGTAGACTACTGCCTAAATACCTTGTCTAAAGATTTGACTAACCTGGTAGTGTCTTGCAGCAAGAGGTGAGGAGGCACCCAGAACTTGACCCTTAGTTGGAAGCGGTAAGGCGGAACACCAGGCACGCCCTGACGTTCGATGGGGTTGCGTAGGTTGAGCCAAACATCCTGGGCCTTGACACTGTGGTACTTGAGGCCAAAATAGTCTGACTCGTTGCTGATACCCAGACAAGCACACACCTGGAAATGCACAATAGACTAAATACACTAGCCCATTTCAACCAACCGTACTTTTTAACTAAGACTAAATAAAAGTCAAATAGGTCTCATTTATGAAAGATAAGTACTGCAAGATGTCAAAACTAAAACTCCTGCACTAAATATGCTTAGACTTCTTGAGTATATAAGTAGATGGGCATAAGAGTATAGGCCTAATAATTAACAATAAATCTAATCACAGTTCATTTTGTGTTCACTGTAACAATGCTGTAGACTAAATTCATTTATTAAGTATCCATCTTTTTTAGAGCTTAAAAAACTTAAAAATAATCCAATAAGCTAAGTAGGCCTAAGTAATACTGAACAGTAGGCCTAACTTAATTATAAACATTGATGGTAATTTAATTGTTTTAATGCTTAATTGAGCGTAGCAAGTGAAGTTCTTCTATACGCAGACTCTTTTCCCCTACTGCATTTATTTCCTCAAATGCAAACTTCTCCTAGATGGTTGAAGCAATCATTTTCATAGTTTGCGTGGTGATAAAGACCATATCGGTGAGTTGGTGAGTACCAACTTCTATATCAATCAGGCTAGGCCTACGGCATTTAAAAAAATCCTCCTTAAAATTTTGGGTTTTAAATTTGATAGGCCTATGCTTATTTGAGAAAATATTATTGAATTTTCAATAGTAGCCCACTTTCATAAGTGGGACCAAAAACAACCGAATGAGAAAATCAAAATTTGTAACATCAAATTGATATATTGAACTTAGATATCGATATATTTAGGTTTAAGTTAGGTTTTTAAGTTTGATACATTCATTCGGTTTCATATCGGTATATTTAAGTTTGATTTATTCATACGGTTGTAGTAATGTAGTAGGCTACTAGCAACCCCCCCTTGGCTTCGCTCACGAAAATTAAAAAGTTTGCCTAAATGTTCAACCTGAGTACGGCCATTGACTATATAACCACAACGGTTATATAGTCAATGGTATGGCCTACACTTCTTGATTTTAGCGAATTTCCCTATAGGGAAGTAGCTATTACCGTAGGTGGCACGGTAAGTCCTAGACCCAGGACTGATTTACTTTTTCATTTTGATGTTCCCAGAGGCCAAAAGCACCATCCGTTCTAATTTTTATATATGTAAATATGTATAGCCTATATATATATATATATATATATATAGCCTAGGCCTACTTATATACATACGTCTGTGAACGCGATAATCCGATTTTGATGAAATTTGGTTTAAAGGTGTAAGGCGGGATAAACTAGAATGAATTCGTGAACCAGCATGATCTGACCATGGGACGGGGTTTTACGGGAGGTTTTATGGGGTAAAAAATGGTTTATCTCATTATAGTGACCCTCAAAACACAACATTTTCTAATTTCTCTCTAGACCTTTTTAAAGAGCTTAAAGAAACAAATAAATTAGTAACTTATATCAAAGTGTTTTTGTACAATTATTGGTAACGGGGAAAGTTCCAAATATTTTAAATTTATAATTCCCATGTTATTCTTATGGATAATATTATAGGGTACAATGTTGTCGTTTGCTTGTTTATGGATACATTTTTATCGAACTTGGAAAATTTTTTTGGGAAAGCGGTACAAACCCATTTGTGTAATGGATGTGCTGGGAATCGAACCCATCCCTAAAGCACAGAAGTGCGGAACGCTACAGTTATCACTGGGCTAGCAATACACCCGAAGCTTAATAGCTTTATAACCATAAGTATGATTGTGTTTCCCTTTATAGTCTAACAGAACCTCCATAAGTTAGCACTTTGTAAGGTACTTGGTAGATCTGCCTATTGTCTATAAAACGTCTTGGATAGTATAGATATCCCAAAAACAAAACAGCCTGCGCAGAAACGTAAAGATCACGTGGTTCGCGCCGGTAGGTGTGGCGTACCATTCAAACCTGCGCAGCTCGAAATGGCCAAGGGTTCTTTTGTTTCTGGTATGTCTATAGGAACTAACTTTCCTCAAATAAGTTAAGTTGGCCTAAGTAAGTATAAGGCTTATGTAGGCCCTATTAGCCTATGTCGGGATGTAGCTGAAAGATATATTTAAATAATCCAGAATTTAGACAACTTATAGAGTAACTGGGTCTTGTAAGATTGATAATTTACCTTTAAGTAAGTAGGCCTACCTAGGTCTAATGCCGGCTGCACATTACTTTACGTCACACTCATTTGAATGAAAATATCGATCGTTTAACGATTATTTTCAATCGATTTTTAATATTGTTTTAAATTATATATCAGCTGTAGGCCTAACTTAATTATGATCAGTTAAGTTAGTTTATCTTAAATTTGTAAATAAACAAAATTAAAAAATAAGTTATAACTTTTAACGATTTAAAACCAAACAAAGACCAAACTACAAATTATAGCCTCATTCTAGATACTATGGTTCTAGATAGTACTTATGGTGAAAAAGTAAGTACATTAAGTACCGGTAATGTCAAAAAATTTACAAATCCAAAGTGAGAATTTTCAAAAAAGGTATTTTTCAATGCATATAGTGTGGTTTAGATCGTTTCTGACATCTAAAATCCAGCCTACCAGACTTTCAACTCGTATTCTAACTTTCATAGGCTATCTTCGTTACAGACGTCACATTTAGGAGTATCAGGTAGGCCTACTAATCCTTGATCTTGTATCCATTTGAAACATTTTACAGGATAACATAATTTAATACTCTGACTAAATTCTCCATAATTCGTGGTGAAGTTCTATAAAAATGACTTTTAGAATCAAAAACAATGAAATAAACAAAAAAGTAAATATTACAACAAAAACAATGCAATAATCGATGTATGAATGAAAGAATCGAATGAAAATATTGAATCGAAAAAAACCAATCGAATGAGTGTAGGACGTCAAGTAAAGTGCAGCCCATTTTTTTATATTCAAATAGGCCTAGGCCTAATTGAACAGTTCTTACCTTTTCTAAACATTCTTGCCCTTTAGCCTTGGGATCCACTTCCACCTCAATCACAACTGAATTTGGCTGGCTAACTAAACACCACATTTTGCATTTGACAGCTACTACATCAAATCAATGCTGTATTATCAATTAACCATGAAAAATTAACTTTAGCTTTAAAAAAATCCAACCAACAAAAGACTTGTAAGGTAATCTTCCGTGTCATCCAAGATCGCAAGCAAATGCAACTCAACAACTCAACTCGTAAACTGAGAAACTAAAACATCGTCTGCTAAATTGAAAGCTTTGTTTTTATTTACAAAAGACTTTACTGATAAATTTCCCCCTCTCCTAGTCATTTGACTAAAGCTATGTTTGCCAACAGCGCAGAAAACTATATCCCTTCAACTAACACCGAGCGCTGAATAAAGTTTGTTCGATACGTGAAACAGTTGCATGCAATTGGGATGGATTTTATAGAATTATTTAATCATCTCTAACTTTTATAGAATTTATTTAATCATCTCTAACTCCCAAGAAGGTTTATGATCAAAGCTAGGACTTGAATTAACCAAGAGGATAAAATTACTGGATAAAAAATTATTATGTGTCCAAATTGCTATGATGTCGTCATTCTAGAAATCTATTTTCAACTGAAAAGAAAATATGTATGTACACTACATACATACCATTACCAAGTACCAACTGTTGTCATATTTGTATCTAAAGTATTTATTACCACAGAAACATACTAATATAACCCTACTATATATACTAATATAGGGTTATAGTAGTATGTTTTCTGTGTTATTACTAGCTGGCCCGACAGTCGTCGTCCTGTCCCGTGGTTTTATGTCAATGCTCGTTCATTTTCAAGATGAGCTCGTTCACATGGCTCAATCACCTCCTGCTCGTTCATTTTCAAGATGAGCTCGTTCACATGGCTCAATCACCTCCTGGGTTGAAGTTGGTTTGCTACGCTTACTCACCTTCAGGTTGGAGCTCGTTCGCTACGCTAACTCGCCTCTAGCTTTAAGTTCGTTCGCTATGCTCACTCACCTTTTGGTTGCAAATTAGCTGTCGTCATAAATTTAAAAAAATAATAGTGGTGCGTGCACCGGTGCACCCTGTTGGTAAACCTATTAACTTTTTAATGCTATTGAACAAGAACATCACAGAAACAAATTGTTTAGTTGAAACAGCTGCCAAAGATTCTTTAATTCCATTTAAATATGAGTAGGCCTACTCATAAGGTTAACACGTCATGGGAAACTCCAGAGCCACTGGGGCGGAAACCTTTTGACGATCTGCACCAAACCATCCTTGAATGATGCTCAATAATGCCTGAAAGTTTCATTACAATCTATGAGTGGTTTCGGAGTACATAAAGGACAAACATACATTGGATTTTATATACTGTATAGAAGATTAATAATATTACAACATCATGAGCAAATGAATGAATGTTATACATTATTTGTATAATGGTTATATTGTAAATAATTCGGGGCAGAGTAACTTGCTTTTGGGTGGATAATCGAACCCCAAAAACAAAATGTTTACGAATAAAATCCATTCGATTTTTAAGTTTTTGAGCACAGAGAAATAAGGTACACAGGAAACATGTGGCACAGCCATCACTTTCATCTCTAATACAGGGAGCGGCAGAAATATCTGACGGTTTTCAAGCGAGTACAGTCCGGCAGCCGAGTGGAGGGGGGTGGCGGGGAGCGGCTCATTCTCAAGGCCAAGTGACCCCATCATTTGAGTCGCCATGGAGCAGTGGACCAGTATACATCGCACGTTTGCCGTTGAGGCGTTTTTTAAAAATGGCGATTCTGTTGTTGGTACGCAACGTAAGTTTCGTAGGCATTTTAATGTGGCTCGTGGGGAACTTATCCCATCCCGAAACACCATCAAATTGTGGGTGGATACCTTTAGATCACAGGATCAACTGCAAAACGTAGGCCTACAGGCCGTCCAAGGCCAGTGAGTGCGACAAGCTGTGCTAACGAGCCCGCATTGCCCGGCGCGTAGACAAGCTGCTGCTCTTGGCATGTCTGATCGCTCTATTTGACGAATTTTGCACTCAGACCTTCACTTTCACCCATATAAAATAGCAATCGTCGGGTGAAAGTGAAGGTCTGAGTGCAAAATTCGCAGTTTGTCTACGCGCCGGGCGATGCGGGCTCGTTAGCACAGCTTGTCGCACTCGCTCCACGTTCTCCGGCGTCCTCAGTAGGTTAGGTTGAACTATTTTGACGTACTTCCCACGCAAGGACTTAGTCCAGAAAACAGCTGTTTGCCACCAGCTTAATCAAATGGGGTTTCATTGCGTACTACTGTACTGTAATGAGTTTTACCGGACACCAATCAGCTGATTATAGCTATATTTGGGTGGCAATGAGTAGTTATAGACAAAAACATAGAGAGGTTATGACTAGTGATTGTTAGTCCTTTAGTTGGTGAAGGATTGGTACAGATTTAGTACTATGGTGTAAACTATCGTACGTCACTCGTCCAAAATGTGTTTACCGGACTCGTATGGTAATCCCGTACTCGACTTCGTCTCGCACGGGAACGACCACTCTCGTCCGGCAAACACTTATTTTCAGGACTAGTAACGTAATATACTATTACACGAGAAAGGAAGAGCCCGAAAGGTGAGCACTGTGCAGAAATTCCTATCGCATGGGGCTCAGGGTCATCAACCGTGAGCTAGTATATGGTGAGGGGGGCGGTGCGGGACTTAACCTTAGACACCAGCATTAGTGCTATTGAGGAAATTTATTCTAAGGCCACCAGGATCTTGGGACTTGTCATGAGATCCTCTAGGTGTGGACTGAATATAGAGGCGCTATGCACACTGTACATTTCTTTGGTGAGGTCAAGGGGTCGAGACTTGAATATTGTAGCTCCATATGGTCACCCCACAAACAGTGCTACATTGATCGTCTGGAGAGCGTCCAGTGCCGGTTTCTACGTCTCATTGGGCGTAGGATGGGGTACACGTACCGGGATGTACCTACCCAGGACATAAGAAGGTCTCTTCTTGGACTTGATACCCTGGCCAAGAGGAGAGAAAATCAGTGATGGCGTGTTCCTGTTCAAGATACTAAGTGGACGAATCAACTGCCCTGTTCTGCTTGCGCTGATTGACCTGCATGTTCCCCCACCAAGATCCACTCGTTCCAATGTGCTGTTTGCTCGCCAACACTGTTCGACTGTTCCACGAACTATGAACTTTATATAGCCCTCTGCCTAGACTGCATCGACTCAGTCTATATGTAGACTTCTTTGACTGTGGTCCACGGGTTATCAAGAGGATTGCTGCGTCTTCGGTTCTTGAGGAACAGTGATGTTGTTCTGGTGTGATTAGTTGTACAGGTCTTGTGTGATATTTAATTTTTTGTCAAATGTTTCGTTATCTCTCTAGTCATTATTGTGGGCTATTACTGGTGTATTGCTGTTGCATGTACTATTGATGTATGTATTATCTTTTTGTTATCTAGTCGCATGTTTTCATGCAGTAATATTATGGATTGTTATTGTTACAAAATGTCTATCTATTGTTATGCTTGCTATTTAACCAAGTTTTTTCTATTAGCATGTGATGTTGGTCCCTTATCTGCCTTTCAATATATTCTGCAAAATAACATAAAAAGTAAAAAAACATGAGAAAAGGCAGAAGAGAAGCAAATTTAATTAGGATAAGTATTCCTTTCACATTTCACTTGCATTCATTATTACTTTTCGTTCATTAATCTCAATCTTTCAATATTGTAATTGTATCAATATTAGCATGTTAACCCTGGAAAAATGGTGTAACCGTAAAAAATAAATAGACACCACTTAAGCGTAGTTTATCCCCTGTTCCTTCCTTCTCTGTAGCATATACACAGTTATGTTGGCAACAGCGTGACAAAAATGTTCCTCACACCTACTGACCTAGAATACCCATTATCCAAATTCTATTTTCGTCCTACCTTCTATGGATTGGAAATTCTAATGATTTCAACATGTGACCATTGACTATAGTCAAATATGTGACTTAAGAGTACATTTCCAAGTTTTTTTTTTTATCAACTGCACCATATTCATTCTTCCCATATATCCATGAGATTGTTTCCACCGAATTCAAAATGGTTTCACTACTCAAGAAAATACATTTTTTTCTTTTAATTATGACTGAGGTTTTTCTTTGATAACTTCAACTGAGCAGACATTTGAGGAGGAATCCTCCAACACTTTGCATGTTTACGGTGGTATCATATGTTTAAAAATTCTGGAGTGTGTTAAAATGTAAAAGCAGTGGTCACAATCTTAATTCTGAAAAAGAGTAAGCCTATTCACCTTTATCTACCATATTCACTTATTATTACCATTTATCCACTTTACCCAAACTAAAACTTGAGACTGAAAATAATATTTAGCAATAATTTTCAGATGAATTCAGGTACTCTTTACAGGCTTACTAGTAACAATGCTGGAAAATAGTGTGTGTTATCAGTTGATGAGTTGTATCTAATGTTTGATTTAATTTATTATGTACAGATACACTGACCAAAGATTACAGAATCACCCAGACAGACCTAGGGTTATATAAGGAATAATGGTTACATTATAAACACCACAAGCTTAACTCATTGAGCTGCTTTCATATTTACTTTTATCCGTAAGAGTTTATTACTCTGGTATAAAAAGTTTTATTTAAAATAACTATGTATTATTAAAACTGATAAATAGAAAAAGCATATTGTTCATCTTATCAAATATAACTTCTTAACCCTTTGGGTGGCAAAAATTTATTTGGGTACTTTCCTAAAAGTGCCAGAGTTTTTTTAACTAGGCTTGTCTGAAAAGTGCCAGGCTTCCCGTGGGGGCGAAGTGTAGTGCGCAAGAATAAAAATCAGTAAAAGTATAAATTTTCATCCCAAAAGTGCCGTGGAAGAATATATGGCGCCTCGATCATATGAGAACTCGATTGAAATCGTCGTTGTTTTATAATGACAACCGAGTCAACCGATATGCCCATTAAAACTCACATGATCGAAAGTCACGCCGGCCCGATATATCGTTGTGAAGTATTTTTCAAATGTGTTGTGCAAAACGATATATCATTGTGTGGCACTCAAAGGGTTAATTATTTAAATATTTGTTATATCAATGCAATTTTGTACTCGTCCTATTTTACCATAAGGAAACCCTGGTCTTATTATAGCCTAACGTTAGCCGTTGTATATTATAAGCGTGATTAAGCATTGATCTTACTTAGGATCAGATTTGAAGACAAGCACAACAACCACTCTCTTACCCAGACATTGAGTAGGTAATGAAATACTAATATTTGTTCTGTGCTGTTTGTGCATTCTACTTCAGAATCACATCAATGTACTTTGGATTAAAATAGATTTAAGTGAGACCTGAGTTTAAATGACCATGTATCAACCTGAAATTTAAAAAGTTTGAGATAAAAATAAGTGTGAGATTAATAAGTAATACCTTTGTAATATCAAAGTCTGTAACAACCTTAAACTCAGGACATAATCTTCTTTGGCATCCTTGTGCACTTTGTGCAGTCCTGAATGTTGATCTCGTAGAGATGTTCTTCACAGTTTTCTGGTTGAGATAACAATCAAGGGAGTGTGATAAAAAGAAGAAAATTAAAAAAAAGCACAATGTATAAAAAATATCAATATATTATATTATTTAAAATGTTGAGATACGATAAACAAGCTTATATCGGGAACTGAAGTACTAACATCTTTTGTCATCACATATTTATTGTTTCTTAGGATAGAGTGAGCGTGCGAGAAGCACAGTCGCTCGGTGCATCTCGCAGGATCACACATGGAAATAAATTTCTGTAAAATAACAAAGTCTAATATTTAACAAGAAAAAGGATGATTTATATGTATAACATTTCATTACTTCTAACACACACTATCGTCAGAATAATCGATAAAACATAAACCCACCGAATTTACCATGTGTCTCGTTCGGTAAATACTTAATTCGAAAATTCTCTAAAGCTTATCTCACAATATGGAGTGTAGCTTTCCGCCTTTTAAGAAAATTTAATGGCAGTGTAATTGCTAAAAATGAACCGGGTCACTTCCTTCCCTCCCTTCCCGAGCTGACGTTTGTACGGGCAAGAAACTTCAAACGGAATCTTTACACATCTGTTCAACTGCTATTACCGCCGAGAGGGGCCAGCCGTCTCGGCTCGACCGTAACGTTTTATTTCTATTATATTTCAAACAGAATTTTGGTAACTAATCGTAGTTTCTTATTTTACAGTTAAACTTTAAAACCGACTAACAAGAGAACACAACGTTTAAAGACATTATATCGATAACAAAAATAAAGACTGTGACAGACAATAGATAGATGAAGAAGGTGCTCGCATACAAGAGATGCAAAGGAAAGTGTACTTTTATACAATATAAATAAAACTACGATAACATAACTTTTATACCCGAGCATAAAGACGAGGGACTAGAAACGAGTATCTACACTGTCGGAGTTTGGAGAATAGATAACAGTTTAGACGGAAGTTCGGCAAGAGACAAAACCCCTAGCCCTAAAGAATAAGCATCTCTGTACAATTTTATAACCCTTTTCGGTTCCTCTACCTCGTCTATATCACCAACTCGATATCCCACCGACATTTTTAACCTTTTTCTATTAACACATTTAAACTTTTAAGAAAAAACTCGTTCAACAAACAATACAAGCGAGTCGTTTCCCTCTTTTATATACAACAAACAAAGCAAACGAAACAGTAACTTACTGTAAACATAAACATCATTAGTCCCACTTTGATTAATTATCACTAAGAGACAAAACGAAGCCATCAAGTATCTAAAGTAACAATCTCGGGTCCGGTATAGTCGCCCATGGGTGACCGTACCGGGGCGCTAGGCGCCTCTCCACACGTCGGACGGAGGAGATCGGTAGCGCTGGACACCAAAACCTGACCGTCACTACAAGCGCTCGTTGCATTCACACATTCCCCCACACAGTAACAAAATAAAACTCGATGAGATTTTGATGTCCAGCTATATAAATAGAAGTTTAAATTTCAAATCAAAACAAAAACAATAACGAAAGTCGGAACAAAAGACACGGAGCGTCACGCGACGCGGTCACTTAGTCCTGACAGTCAGGCCACATTCACGGCGCACACCTGGCACTCATGGAGGGAAAAGTCTCTATTTTGTTGCCAGTTCCAATTGGTTGTCTATTCCTGGTGCCGATCTCATTTTGTGCCAGGGCCGTTGTCTGACCCGCCGACTGACGCCTTCTCCCCGCCGTCTTTCATCTTCTCACAGTAGTCTGCAAAGATATCTCGGAATCGTGCCCATGATTTTTCAGGTACGGTGATGGCTGTTCGGAAATTTGTTTTCACCTGTAAAGAAGGAATTGACAAGAATTAATAAAGCAAATGTTCGTCATTGCCCCTGGCTCAATTCCCACTGAATATGCAAATTGCAAGCAAAGTAAGCCTATGAAAATTCCTTTTATCAGGCTTCTTGTCTAAGAGTAGCTGTAATGATTCTGAGTTGTCCATGATGATAGTGTCTAGTATCTAGGTCTTCTGAAAAAATCAAATGTCCGTTACTAAAACCTTCAGTAGAGAAAATATACAACTGATTATTACTATTCTTAGAGATTTAAATGGAAATTCATGAATCTGACTATAAATAGAGAAAATAATAATCTGCACTCCTAAAGATATGTATTACAATTCAATTTTTGTATTTAATTAAATTTTCTATGAATATTGAAATTTGGATGAGAAATGGGAACGCATTTTGTTCTCACCACTTCCACAGAGAAATTACATGATAAATATTTTTTTTACTAATCAAAGAAACTTTACAGTAGACTTCCTCTTTTTTGGACACCTGATAACTGGACATCAGTTTAACCAAACTACTCTCAGCAGAAGTGGGAGGTACTGAAAAAACTTTTATATTGCAGCTGTCACGAATTAATTGTAATGGGCATTTGTAGTGCTAGATTTGTAAAAAAGTAGGTGCCGGAACTGTAACCTATTTAATGTGATTAGTATCTATTTATGTTCCTATTTATACCATTATTTTTATCTTTAAAGAGAAGTATCCTCAAATCGAGCAATGATCACCTAAAGCCTTAACATCTGATGTTTTGTGTTTACAGTAATTATCCCAAAGTGTATAGTTTTACTATTTTTACGCAATAATAATTATTGGCTTACACATCAGGCATTCAAAACGTAAAGAGTTTTAGGGACCTCGTTTTATCCGGACTAGCTTCAGTCTTGAGGAGTACAGGTAAGACAGGTAAGGAGCCTACTGTAGTACCTAGTTCTACAGAGTATCAGTGCAGTTATCCCGCTCACCAAGAAGCAAAACAAAACTTAAAAATAAAAAGTTATATACAACTAATCAAAAATATTTAAAAAATAATGAAATCCAATGATAAACAGTAAAAAAAATGTGATTGGTAAAGTATGACCATAATACTTACTTCAGAAATACGCATGTATATGCCGCGGTTATTTTGACCTATGTCAAAATAAAAGTTTTTGTTTTCCACCCGCATGTGCCTCCCTTCGGGCAATTCTCCCTTGAATCCTCCGTCGTCAGTTCCAAACTCTTCTAGCAGATCTGTGAGCGCATCTCGGAACTCGATCATTCCCTGAGCTGGAATGGCTATCTGCGACCTCGGCCCTCCCCTTGTTATTGTTTGTGATACCTGAGACAAAAACAAACCTTGTTACCAATGAATTACTTTTGAATTAAAATATTTTACAATAAAAAGGTAGTGTAAGATAGAAATGGAACACTAAGTGATTTGAGAGACACTGGGTAGTCGTTTTTCTTTCATTATTTACCCAGTTATCGTCTAGTACCTGTTTTTTCTATTTGTTAGCGGGGACATAAACTGAAGATAAAACTGGTATGTATGCAACATTGCTTTTATTTCTGAACTCAACACTAATAGCTGATTACTATAGTCAACTAGAAGGGTAAACGGATGGTCATTAAAAATGTTATGACCACCATCAATAATTTATTTAAATAACCTAAATTGCTTGTAATTTACAAAACAAAATTCACACAAAAACACTACATATCTTTAGTTTGCTGGCTAAAAGAATGAAATCCCAGCTCAGAATATTTATACACACAAATTCATGCAAGGTAAAAATCTGATGTAGCCAAATTAAAAAAAAAATTACAATATTTGAAAAGTTATTTTGAATGTAGCAAGAAACTAAATAAATGTCACAATAATAGCATGTTATTTTTTTATGCCTTAATTCAGTTGTGAAAAAATAAAATTTGATTGGTATTAGCAATATGTACATCTTAAATGCAATAACAACTACTATAAGGCCAAGCGCAAATGCCGTAAAGGGATAACTCAGTTTAATGAAGTCGAGGTTGTAACATAGAACACAAGGTCCTAGGTTTTTAGAATTTTTAAAAAAGGATAGCTGGCGCCTGTGACATGATTGGGAAAGAGTCCAAACTGGCTCACAACACTTTAGACTATATAGACAAAACATTGGAAAATTTCACTGTCATAGACAACATTTTCAACTGAGTTTTTTTCAGGTAGGCCTACAATATGGTGAGAGAAAAAAACTCTCTCTCCTTAGTTGTAAATACTGTCAGTGACAGTGAAATATTCTAATGTTTTGTGTATATAGTTACAAGTGTTGGGTCTCTTGTGCTAGTTTCAACTCTTTCCCAATCAGGTAAGCTTACTATCCTCACAAAAAATCAATTTAATGAAGGTTAATTCCGTAAACTGAAAGATGGTGTGAAAATACTCACCAGAAAACCAATTGCTCACAGACAACAATTACAAAAATTTGTCACAAATTAAAACCACAAAATTCCAGCAGCATTTTTTTTATCCACAAATACACTGACAGTCGTTTTAAATTATAAAGAGTATTTTTTTATTCATGAATTTACGTTTACATTTTCTCCAGAAATGAACTACAAATATAAGTTAAGACTATCTAAATGATATCATTATCATATAAAGAGCAAAATACATCAAATAGCTCACTTCTAAAAGGATATAAAAAAATTTAATTTAATCCATTTTGTTAAAAAAACATTTAATGTACATTTATATATACGGGGTAGAAAAAAGTCCTGGGACAGATAAATAGCCTATATAAAAAAATAATCAATATAAGAGCAGCTAAAAAACTTGGTACAAAGTTACAGGGCATTACAATCATTTTAACACATTATTCTGTGATACGCTAACCCCCTCAGGAGGACGGCCCACCAGGGCTCAGAGAAAATCCTTAAATGTAGGTTATTATAGCACATCAAATTAAAGGGCTTTACTAGTAGAATACAATTCCACAAATCCAAACTCAAACTCAACCGAATCAAAAATTGCAGCCGTTTAAAGATATCTTGGTTCTGCCATTTTGAATCTTTGAACGGCTGCTATTTTGAATATTTGAAAGGCTGCTATTTAGAATATTTGAAAGGCTGCAATTTTAGAATCAGTTGTTCTTTTTAGCTCAAACTTACGGCATTGTATTCCACTAACAAAGACTTTAATTTGATGTGCATATTAAACTATGCTTACATTTATGAATTTATTCTGACACCTAGCGCCCTGTCCCCATTAGGAGGTAGCATATCACTGAATAATGTGTTAAAATGATTTTATCACCCAGTTAATTTGTACCAAATTTTGTAGGCCCTATCCTTATTTTTTTTAATTTAACTGTCTCACCAACATTTGTTCCACCCTGTATATTTTGTCTATAACACTACTAACTAAAGGACCTAGCATTTGCCTGCACACATAAGCCTTGGGCCTGTAATCATATCAAGAAAAGCAAGGGGTGAGTTGGCACAGCATAAGAATCGGCTGTATTGATAATATTAGTTTCAGCACTGGGATGCAAACCTGCGAAATCACTGGCTTTTAACCTACTGAGCTTACTTTGATGGACGTAATTGTCAAGATTGAGAAAAATTACTTTTACAGTGAAACTATCCTATGCCCAGTAGGCCTACAGAATTTTAAGAGCTAATATTTTATCCAACTACAAAGTATATCACACTTTTGAATGTCTAATTAATTTTAAATTTTAATTTTAGAATTTTAAATTTTGAGTAATTGTCTTCAAAGCTTGTTTTGTCAAATCTAAATGATGGTTTTAAACAGATTCTCCTTACAGAGATAGTCCAATTCCTTACAGTAAACTAGTTTTCTTACTATTAAACTAGGATCCCAATAAAAATTAAATTTGGCCAGTTTAAAAATTAATTTACACTGAATTGGCTAGGTCTACACAAACTGTAGTCAAATACAACATACCACTTCATGTCAATCATGCATACCACAATCTATTTATTGTTTACTTCGTTAATAATCTATTTAAAAATATAAACTCCTCAAATCAACTGCAAAACTTCAAAAGCGCTGCAGCTACAAATTTTTCAAAACTCAAAAAAGGTAACATTCCGCAATTTGGAGTAAGAGATGTAGAGCATAAATTTTAATGATTGTTGTAGGATAGCAAACACCTGAAAGCACAAAAGATACGACAAATAACACTTATAATAAAATATTTACACTTATACTGTTTACTCGCAAGATTGTTTGATACATATACAAGCTGGTAAGTGGTGATCGATTTTGATTGGACACTCCAATTATCATCAGACCCAATAGGCAAATCTCCTTCGCATTCGCCTATTGGGTCTGATTGGAGTGTCCATTCGAAACCAATCACCACTTACGATCTTGTATATGTATTAACCGTCTTGTGAGTGAACAGTATAAGTGAAAATATATTTTTATAAGTGTTATTCGACATATCTTTGGTGCTTTCAGGTAAATTAATAACACGTACAATGCTGATCAAGAAGTTATTTAGATAGCAAACATACTTGAATGGGAAGAGACAAAAACTTCACAATGTACGCAAAAATTGAAATGTTTCATGGTCAATGACAGCACTTTCAATTAAGAAAGAAGGATGTAGCTTCATGATTTGGTAGGTCACAAAACTAAGACAAACTCCAAATCTTGAGACGGTGAGACCCGTGTCAAATTGGTATACACTGACCAGACGTTCCCCCGGATAAGGCATCTTCAGTGGCAAAGCTTTAACTGACTAATTTAACCAAATGCCATTTTACCACTCATTTTACGATCCGATTCAGTGAGTCAGCTAACAAAAATATATTTATTTACACCACAAACTAATATTACAAAATGTTTACATATTGGCAACACTGTAAACAACTTCCTGACCCCCATTGGACCTGAAGACAATATTCTTAACTCAGACCTTTCCTGGTTGTTAAAGTGTCAGTGACAATTACTATTCTAATTGACTCAGTACAATGTTAAATTTTTGAGCTTACTCTACTCTTTCCCATCTAAGTAAGGCTAATAATTGCAGCAAAAAAAAACATTCTAAATTGTTTTTAGCGAATTTCCCTATAGGGAAGTAGCTATTACCGTAGGTCTCATGGTAAGACTTAGGCCCGGGACCGATTTACTTTTTCATTTTGATGTCCCCAGAGGCCAAAAACACCATTCGTTCAAATTTTTATATATGTATATATATATATATATATATATATATATATATATATATATGTGTCCGTGAACACGATAACTTGAGTAATTTGTATCCGATTTTGATGAAATTTGGTTTGAAGGTGTAAGGCGGGATAAACTTGAATGAGTTCGCGATCCAGCATGATCGGACCATGGGAACAGGGTTTTATGGGGTAAAAATTGGTTTTTCTCACTTTTGACCCTCAAAACACAAAATTTCCTAATTTTTCTCTAAACCTTCTTAAAGAGCTTAAAAAAACAAACAATTCAGTATATCAAAGTGTTTTTGTACGGTTATTGGTTACGGAGATAACTAAAAAAAATGGTAAGTTTAAAATTCCCATATTATTCTTATGGAGAATATTGAAAAATGTTGTAGTTTGCTTGTTTATGGATATCTTTTGATCAAACTTGGCAAATACATTCATTTTATACTAAGCAATAATTATTTTACTTAAAATGCACACTTTATTAGTTTCCTTGTAGCAGCAAACCTAGGTACTCATTAAACCTAATGTTATTTAAATAGATCAATTAAAAATCAATACAGCCAAATGGAAATTCGCTTAGACGGCAGGTTTGCTGCGGCGGGGGTATTTTAGGTAGATATCTCCTATATTGCTCTCAAACACCAGCACACCACAACAACATCATGCAAGTAGCACAACATACGGAGAGTGTAGAACGTAGGCTATACCTTGCTTACCCTAAGGAATCTGCCACGAGAGTTTTCTTTCAGGTCAAGGTAATACCGTCTATTATCTTTAATCATCATTTCTGACTTTAATTTACCGTCTTCTGGGACATTTTCGGGATTCGGGGGACCTGAAACAAATCCATCATCTCAGCATACCAAATAATGAGCCGTCTTACAGACTAGAACACTTCATAAAATAATGTGCCTATGTTAAAATATTTGCATTAGCATTTTAAGATGATCTACAAAGTAATATAATAATAATAATTTATTTTATTTTATTTATTTTATTTTTGGTCAGGGGTGATTGAATGTGATAACTTTTATGCTGCTATGCTGTTAATTATTTAACCACCGTCATTGGTTAATGACCTTAACAGCCGAGTAGGTTTCACACTTAAATGTGGCAAAAGAACTTTCACTTTCTCATGATCAAACCAATGATCTTTGGTCTCAATGTATAAACCTCATCTCACGCTACTGATGGGATTCCACACCGAACAAGTTTTAGAGAGAAAACCAGAATGGTAATTTCAAAATAAGTTATTAGCCTAAACATAAAGTTGAGAATGTGGTTACAAAAAGTGTAATTAGTCCAAGATAAATTCTGTTCAGTTCTCTTGTTGTTTCAATGACAGTTGAAGTTTTATTACACCCAAACAAGAAGGTCTCTTCCAATATTATGATCTAAGTGTTTTTGTACACTCATGGTGGAAGAGTCCTAACAGGAATGTTAAACGAATAAGCACTGTAAATCCTTATCCATCTACAAAACAGCTTAGAATAGTTTTGTTAAAATCTGTAAATATATTGTTTTGTAAATCATGAACATATCATAGTTTTACGCGTCTTTGAAAAAATGCCAGTTGTAAATTGTGCAATATCACAGCTATGTAAAGGATAACTTTATTTTTCATAATACATGCGTGAGATACTCTACTTTTCGATAAGTTTTAATGAAAAATATTTGCATATCATCTAAGTATTGAATTGTTTAATTGACCTTGAACTATTTTCTTATCATAATGTTTGACCTTGTTGTAATCTTTCAAACTATCAGCCTGTGCTTATCTCGGCTTATTTTTAATATCATCTGGGTTTAAAGTAGTATGTTAAAAAGAAGTTTGAGAAATGTGTGGGCTCAAACAAAACACACATATAACAATTTGAAGTGTTTTGGCTTGAGGCTTTGGTGTGATTTGTGGGCGGGGTTGACCTAATAATCATTTAGAAAGAGGTCTCAGAACTTTTTTACATCACGGTTGTGTAAATGAGGTAAACTGTGGAATTTTACCTTCTCTACAAATAAGAATACTACACTCATGACCTTTAAAGACCCTACAATGAAATAGTATTACAGTAGTACTGCACATAGGTATGACAATGAATACTACATTACTATAATCTAAAAATTCAGTCAAAATTAAAGTTGCAAACGGACAAGAATATTCTTTATCAGTTAGGATTTTTAGGATCGCTTTTGAAGTGACTGCAGTGATAAAAGCTTACCAAGGGCTGCGTAAAATTCACTAAATGCTGTTAAATGGTCTCTAAATTCTGCGGCTGTTGAGAGAGCGAGGAATATTTGACTCCGCCTTCCATCTGCTCCAATCTGGAAAAAGAAAACACAGTTACAAACACTGTAAATTATATTTGTAAATTTCTTTTTAGATTTAAGTTTGATTTCTTTTTATAAAACTGCTTCCTGTTAACCATTATGTTTGATCCAACTCAATCACACACTCACATCTTCATTAACCCTTTGAGGTAGAATTTTTTCCAAATTTTCTGGTGAACTTAGCTTGCCATTCAAGCAGTCAGGAAAATGGCGCCCAGGGACCTATACTCACCATTCGGCTTAAAAAATTAACTTTTTTGATTTTTTAATTTTTAATTTTTTTTTGTCCTTGTAGGTTGCCATTTTTGAGCAGTCGGCAAAATGGCGGGCGGCGACCTATACTCGCCATTTGACCGCAAAGGGTTAATTTGTGTTTTGGCTGTAATAGTATCAACAGTTTTCTTTATGAATTTCAGTCCTACTATATCACATTTTAATAACCTGTTTGACAATTTTATTTGACAACTTTTGAATCAAGTACACAAAAGTAAATATATTTTCTAGAGTGCACTCACATATCCACAAAGCTAATAATGTAGAATTCACACTGGCCAAAAAATTTTAAAACTTGCCAAGGTCACTATTATGCAACTGATTAAGCAATTCTTCAGACGCCCTCAGATTACTGTATTTCAATCATGCATTGATCCAAGATTAGACAGTTCTTCCAAATGCAAACACTTTTTTTATTAGACTTTATTGTAATTAACAGTTCAAGCCATTTTGATTTTGCAGACTAAATAAATTAGCTATTAACTTGATTTCCATGATCCTATATATTTGACTACTTCAATATTTAATTCACTTTTTGACTATAAGGTACTCAAGCAACTGATTACGTAGGTTATTTTGCAGTCTGCTAACGTAATTTGAGTTTCTCTAGAAATATCATATATAACGTGACAGGAGTTTTTTTATTTCACGATTCTGAATCAACCACTTAAAGGATGTTCATGACTTTTGTGTTGAAAGAAAGATAATTTTATGAAATAGGGAATGTCAAAGCCATAATTTTAGTTTAGGCTTTCAGTTTTTTAGAAATTAAGTTTTAATTTTTAATAAGTCTAGCAGCTGACTCTAGGATACTGTAAGTAGACCTACTATCCTTATGTAAAATATAAAACATTCTTTGGCGTGTGCTCATGTTTGGTTACGTTTGGGTGTGCTGATGTAGGCAAAATATCACTTTTTTCAACTAAATATCTTATAGTTTGAATAAATGAATATGGGATATTAGGATGTACATATATTCAATGAGGGTGGGTAATTATCACGGACATTTAAACGTATAACGGTATGAATAATAAACATAGAAAAATTACCTTACTAGCTTTCTAACGTTGTTTACTTTATCAAATTCCTTCTAAAGAGAAGTAACAAGTTCTTTTTCCAAATGAATGCTATTTTAACTAAACAGCTGCTTCAAAACAAACTAACTGCCATTGATTTTACTTCCTTTTGTTTACTTATTGATTTATCAATAAATACGGTGAAATTTATATAAAGGATAGGTATGGATGATTTATTTGAAAATGTCAGAACTATGTCGGCACACCAAATTTTTGGTTGGTAAATTAAGTGTCAATTGGTGTGGTAGGTCTTTAGAAAACCATCCAATAAGCTGCAGGGTGTCAGCAGAAACCAAATTCGATTCATACCATAGGCCTACCATATTATTTCAGTAGTACTGTATGGTACAAAAACTTGGGACCTGAACAAAGTTAATACAAAACCAAAACCTTACTATCTGTAATCAGATATTTTTATCTTTACTTTGAAATGCTTGTTTTATATTTTTAGAATATCTCGGGAGCAGAACCTGTACCTCTTAACCTCTGCTCTTCTAAAGGTCAAATTTAAGTATTTACAGCCAACTTAAATTAATTGATATATTATTTACATTCTTTGAAAATGTAAACGTGGAAAATTTGGAAGCCCATGGGGCGTACCTGCGTAGCCCAAGGAAAATATGAAAATTAAATTATATCATTTTGCATTGCCATTCATTTGTGAGCTATGTTTCAACTTTCAAGTCTCTAGCTCATCGGGAACTTCGTTTAAAATTGATATCAAAATTTGTAAGAAAGTGAGCTAATAAAAACAAGCCCATGGGGCGTAGCCCAAGGGAAATATGAAAATTAAATTATATAATATTGCATTGTCATCCATTTGTGAGCAATGTTTCAAGTTTAAAGTCTAAAGCTCATCGGTAAGTTTGTATAAAACTGATTGCAAAATTTGTACCGGACAAGAAAGCGAGCTGATAAAAACGTTTTAATAAGATACTATGTAAGTCAGTATGCAATGGAAGGTGGTACCTTAGGTGTACCTTAAACCAGTAACCAGTGTATGTGTGTGTGTCAACCGCCAATCTCACTTAAAGGCTTTTCAAATCAACAAAATTACTATTTTATTGTAAAATTACCGGATTTAAAATGAAGGTCGTATTGACCTATAATCGGATAAAAGAAATATGTGGTCACGTGATATTTGTTTACAAGATGATTGTCCTTATTAAAACTGCCAGAATGTTTCTATATGCGTGTAATTAGCTATTCTCAATTATATCCAGTTTAAATTGACTACCTGATTCCCGTACGTAGAACAGGCCAACAGCTAGTTAAAGTAATTTCATTAACAAGCCTTTTGTCAATAGAGAGATTTGATACCATAACCAACTAAAAATACCTAAATCCTCTTATCCAGTCCATTTTGATGCAAGGCTAGTGAAAATGGTATTGATGAGACTAATTTAAGTTTTTTTTTATACAATATTCATTTTTATTTTTTATATGGATACTATTTCAAGCTTGCATTTAAGAATGGGTTAGTCTACCACATGAAATCTTTAATACAATGGAAATATTTAAAATGTATGAACCAAACAGTTGTAAAATAAAAATCTGCTGTAATTTGCAATAATTTTGCTCAAAAAATTAATGGCTTGGTTGTAAATGGAAGAGTTATGAGACATTTTTTCAAAACTTTAAAAAGCTTGTTATGGTTTACAAGTCCGGAGTTTATTTTTTGAGATTGGCTATTAAAGCAGGTGATTTTTAAAATATATAATTGTCAAACGAATGCAAATGGGGAGACAGATTTTGATAAATGCTTCTTGGACTGGTTTATCTTAACAAATCAATCAAACAGCAAATGATGGGCAGAACTGAACCAAAATACGAGCTCAGTTAACACCTGACCAGCTTTTCAGGATTAATACTGTAGTGAGATATAACTCTGAGCAAAGTATTTAGATGCTAAAGCAATGTACAGAACATACAGCTTACTTCGGCTACTTTGATAAATCTTCCTCTCCTATTCTGTTTAACATCTAGGTAGAATCTTTTTGACTGGATCTGTAACATTTTGGTCGCCAGCTCTTGCTCCCCCTGCTGTTGTTGCCCTGTAACAGAAAAAAAATTGTTACATATGAGTTAAAATAAAATAAAAAATATTTATACTGTCTTATAAACAACTAAACAGTCATTTACAAGAAACAGAAAGTATAAAGTACCAGCCGGCGTTTCCCCATTAAATCATGCGAACGTGTTTTTCTTGACAAAGCTAACTTTAAGTTGTGAGTTGATTTCAATGTTTGAGATTTTGAGTCAAATCCATATTAAACTGAACGTAGACGTTTCTAATACTATTACAGTAGACTGCCTCTAATCCGAACTCCTCGGGGCTGAGGCCAGTCCGTATAGCGGTTTTTCCGGTTAAACCGACGTCCCCAAAAACTTGTTAAAACAGACCGTATTTAGTATTTAGACACGTGATCACTGGTCTCAAATCTTTCCCATGAGAACAGTTGTTTCAGTACCGCCCACTTCCTGTCGATCTAGTCCGGTATAAGCCGATGTGCTGATAAAAATTGATCGGTTAAAAAGATGTAATTTCCGCTGAGTGTAGTCTGGTTAAACCGATGTCTGGTAATAAAAAATTTGTACAATAAAGATCTTGAGCCACCTTAAAAATTTGTAAGATGAAAGCTGAGATCTAGCCAGGTGGGACAGCAAGTGAGAGGTCTTTATCACTGCATTGAACATTGAACATCCTCACGTATAACTGGCTGTAAAATAAGTCGAAGATTGGTCCTAAAATGTTAAAATGCCAACTCACATTTTCTAACAGAAAGATAGCTGATAGTGTGGTTATTCATAATAATACCTGAGTTTAAGACCATTCTATTTTAGTTATTTTTGAATTCTCTGAATATATGATTTTTGTTGGTTAAAAATGATTGTATATACAGGAGCGGCAAAAAACCGATCTATTTTTTGCTGCGCACTGTTCATCGACAGGTCGTCAGAGCGTGGTGGGGGTAGGCTCGTTGGAAAGCCTACACAATGACATTATCTGTGGTCATAGAGCAGTGGTCACTTGAGCAACACGTGCTTGTTATCGAGTCGTTTGATGATCAAAAGTAATGATTCAGTCATTGCAAATCAGCGGCATTTCCATGCATTCTTTAAATTAGGTTGATATAGAGAGGTTCTGGTGGGATTATCTTGTTTGGACAATCAACAACATTGAACAGATTAATACACATTAATCTGTAGGGATAAGAATTAAGATCGAACCTCAAAATTAGTGTAACTGAGCGGCCAGACATGTTCAAAGCAGATGTTCGTTTTCGAGCGGGCCTACGATGAATGTTTTCCACAGCAGCACGGAATCTAACGAATGTTAGTTGTCTGACATCCGATCTGACTTTGGACGGCTTGTCAGCTTCTTTTTGAACGCAGAAGCCATTGCTCTAAACTTGGTAACCCACCACATGATTGTGCCACTTGACGGAATCAACGTCACCCTAATTTAAAAAAAAATGAACCGAACTGCCGCTGAGTTGCAATGACTGAATCATTACTTTTTTAATTTGACTCGATACCAAACGCACGATGCTTAAGGCCTGTTCACACCGGCGTAGCAAGACGTCTGCAGACGTATTCGGTGTATTAATACGTCGCCAGTGCACTGATCACACCGCAGCTACGTCTGACGGCTACGTAGCCGGCGAGCCGGCTGTTGTTTGTTGATTTCATTATATTATTTTATATTTGTTTATATTTGTTAATTTATTGTTCATTTTTATTAGTGTTTCATGAATTTCAGTTAAGATTGCCACAGTTCAATTGCAGCTTTTATAGTAGCCTGAAAAGTCTGTTAATGTTAATGTAGACAAAAATATTTCACTCTAATTTTAGGCCGTATATAGTTGGCTATAAGATTTGCGCTATATGATAATATTAAAAAATATTACCAGAAAACATGCAATAATTTTGCTCATCCATAAGGATTACATTATAAAATAGTCTATGGTGTAAGTAAGACCTATGTCTAGATATAATTCATTAATGTTTCATAAATGTCAGCCCACTATATGAACCATAATAAACCATGTGATAGATTAATGCGATTTAATAACTTTTAAGTGAACTTTTATGTTATAGTCCAACATTTACCACTAATAAATTAATTATGAGTTGTAGGGAGGGTGGCGGTGACAGCCTTGTGTGCTAGTGCGCATGAGCGTATTCGGCTATGCGAGCTACGCGTAGCTAGCAGGCGTAGCGGCAGCGCCGTAGCTTCCGTAGCTCACGTATTAATACGCCGTGTGAACACTCTCTATGAATTACATTAAGAGCTACGTCAGCTACGTATTTCGAAAAAGTATTAATACGTCTGGCTACGCCGGTGTGAACAGTCCTTTAGGTAACCACTGCACAATGACCACAGAAAATGGCATCAAGTAGGCTTTCCAACGAGTCTAACCACACCACTCTGACGACCTTTTGCTAAACAGTGCGCTACATAAAATAAATCGGTTTTTTGCCGCACCCTGTATATAATACATGTCTGTACCTCCCAATGTTGGAGGAAACAAAACTATAATTAATTTAGACATATTTTTCATTTATGTACCGGTAAGGAAACCGGGGGGCCACCAGTTGACCGACAAGATACTTGGTCGTCTGGCCACTAGACCGTCTTTTTTAATTAAATAGATAAATACTGAAAACCAGTACGTCGACAAGTTATTTCATCGTCAGTCCAGTTGACCGGCCTGTAAATCTAAATTATTATATACGAGAAACCAACTTGTCGTCAATTCTCCCGACCGACTTACCACTTGCTCGTCTTTTAGGTGGGGATGTGTTGAGCGGCAGTGCCAGCGGCGCGCGCAGCTGTGGAGGGCCCTGCAGGCGTACCAACTTCTGTATCTTGTAGCGGCGGTTTTCATTCCGACGATTTTCAGCTATCACAATGCAGCGGACTAGCGAGGTTCTTATTACGTGTAATTGTTTGTTTCTCAATCGATATTTTGTTATACACAGTACAGTGAATATAAATAGGCCTATATTAGTTTACTTCAATGAAATAAATGTTTTATTTAGCTAAATAAATACAAATACGCCGATTGAACAAATACAATTGTTACAGACAACAGGAAGTCCTTAATATGATCAAAAAAGTGTTTATCTTTATTAAAAAATTACTGAAATTTGTAAACTTACTGCTGGCGACAAGGGTGGTGCCATACATAGGTTTATCAATAAATAAGATAAACATGGACAACCTTATGCAGCTATAAGTCAGGAAACATTTGTAGAAACATTAAAAAGCAATACCAATTTATGAAATATGATAAAATATTTACAGGAAATGTTGATTACTGTATATACATCGTGAGTATCTCCAGCAGTTACACACTGGTGATCTTTGAGTTGACTCTTTTAAACTCATTGATTATTACTTTTTTTCGTTTTGAAATAAATTCTGTAATACTTTGAAATTGCTCGAATTCGAGCAACATGTACACGAGTTTGAATATTAAATTAACTAACATGTAATAGGAGGGTCAAATATTGTTAACAGTGGTGAGGTAACTACCGTTACATTTATTCAATTGAGAGATAAATACAAATTGATAATACCGGTTATTTAAAGCTTTGTTGTCTATTTTTCCCTCTCTTAAAAAAATAAAATAAAGAATAAATTTAGACTTTTGGTGACATTAGTTTGTACTATTTCTCCTTAAATGACACTGCTGTCTTGGTAAGCAATAGTTATCTCGGTAAACTATTTATTTGCTGAAGTGCACAGTGTGCTACTTAGCCTGAGAAACATCTTTTGTTTTATGATTTTGTTGTAGGCCTATTGAAAACCTTGTCTAGAAGGAATTCCCATTGCCTGTGTTACCGGGGAGAAGTTTTTCTTAGTAAAGTCTGTAGACGTCTTCGGTTTTACACAGAAACATGTAATTATAATTGAAGAAGTACATGTTTTATCCTCTCACGTTGTTGCGTGGACAATACTATGGTGATTCAATTCTGTGTACTTCAATTGTCTAACTGGCCCTAACTGACGCATCCTTGTTTTTTTTTACTAAATAATGTAGTCTTTACTTCCGTGGATCTTTGCGTTTTATTGTGTAACTGTCCTCAAGTAAGTCTGTGTTCTGAGTAAGTACTTCAAATGCACGGCACTACTGTATATTCAGATTTTCTAATGAACTATCATAGATAAAAGGAGTATAGACATGTATGTATGACAGAGTATGTCTACTCCTTTTATCTATGGTACTATTTCCAAGTTCATCTGGACGACCCTGCAAATCGTTTCTAGTAAAAAAAATTGTATTTGGTTTATGTTTATGAACTTGTATGAGTGTTGTTAACTAAAGCTAAATTCACATCAAATTAATTAATTTAATTTATTTTAATAGTATTTCTAATTAATTTCAGTTTTAAGAACATATAGTAAATAAATCCTTGTTGAAACGGCTGTACTATCCATGCAATTATTGTCAAACTATATGTTCAAAGATTCCTGGACGGCAATGTTATAATACTAGTTGGAGCAGAGGTACTGGATCTAGGGTTAATACAGTTTTGTGACGTGTAAGGTATATCACTGCAGAAGTAGTTAGCTCAAGAATTATGACGCGGATGACAAAGATTGGTAGCTTTTGCTATAATTATAAAAAAAAAAACCAAGTACATAAATCATTCACAGTTTTTTTTCACAGTCTATTGAATAGCCTGCAGTTAAGTTCACTCTAATGAAGAATATAGACGTGGCCAGAGTTCCAAACGATTTAAGTAACAACTGTTTACATGAACTATCCTATATGTAAGTTTTTTTTTTATAGTGTGCAATGTACTTATTGAATTTTCATTAGTAATATATCATGGCTATATCGTTTATGTAAAAGTATCAAAAGATAGTAAAACGAAAACGAAACAATCAACCAAGACCAGTGACCGAAACAAGTGTCGAGCTGGCGGCGCCGCGCCTACCTCGGGATTCCCCGAGGGCAATAATTCATCTTTGAAGTAACACCGGTAACACTGACTCACTGGCCGACACGGATACCCGCCTACCACCCCCTTTGTGTCGTCA